GATTTTTATTAAACTTTACGGGCACGACCTTAAGATTTGCAGTCGAGGCTTTAGGTCCTTGAGTATAGCTTAGTAATTAAACAAATTTTTGGTAATTCGATAGTTGTTAATGGTTCAGTTATTCTAAAATCATTTATTTTAATCAATCAATCAGTCAGTCTCAAATCTGAGGGAGAATCCTCTATACAGGGACCCCGGACGCTTAAACAATACACACACACAAATCACTATGATCAAGGTGAAATTTACTGACTAACTAAAGGGAGTACAACAGTGGGAGTAAATATGGGAATATTACAGGAATAACAGTCAACATGAAAAAAAACAGAAGGTAATGAACAGAATATGTAATAAGCCAAGATCAGTACACTGGGCTCGATGGGATTTCAGTTTGATATTGTAGAGGGAGAGGATTCTACGAGAATGAGGGCACTAATGCTCGGAAATTATGTTGCAAATTTATTTTGAATAACCTAGGGGTTTCTTAACTATAGATGAGGGCCAACTAGAGGACACCAACGAGTCACAGCATGTGGTTTGTTTTGCCTTACTTATGTCGTAATTCCCCGTAGCAAAGGCTCACTGCCGGTTGGGCTCGTGGATGTTGTCCTGGCCAGGTTGGGTGGCACCCCGGTGGCGTCTCAAGTTGGGTTCAAACCGATGGAATTGCTCCGGAGTCCTTTGCGGGAAAACGCTTGCAGCAACGGCCAACTGGCGACACCAAACTCGGCAAAAGTAAGGCAAAACAAACCACATGCTGTGACTCGTTGGTGTCCTCTAGTTGGCCCTCATCTATAGCTCGGCGGAACACACTCCAGACTCTCTCGTTGGAGCCATGACTTCGTTCAACTCGAGACGAGAATTGAAAGGGCTTCTGGGTATCTGGGTCAAAAGTTGCTTAGAACGATCGAATAGCGTTAAAACAACAAAATCAAATAAGACACATAGATTCGCGAGGACCCGGGAATATAGGCTATTTAATGTTGCTGAGTTTAAACAAAGTCTGGGGATAGTTTGATCCCAGGCAGCTCCAAACAAAAGTCAAAATCTCCCACTAAGAAAAATGGGGTTTCAAGAACATGAAGCTTTCTCAGTTCGTCTGAAGGAAGTTTAAAGAAAAAAAGATACAAGAGAGTACAAGAGTTTTAGTTTCAAGACAGTGAAACAAAAGACAACAAGGTCTTCATCTGTTCCCCTTTTTTGGGACGTGGTGACGTCATTTTGGGAGTGGGTATCCCTAGGGGAGTCACCCTTTGGCCTCAAAAGTGTTAACTTTTAGTGGGATAAAGAAAAAATATATTGCGCGTATTTTCCATTTAATCTCTCTCTCTAATATTACATATAACATTAGAAAAATACTTAGTTCTAAACATTTAGATAAAAACAAGTAGAACAAGATTAAACACTAGAAGGTTAATTGTTTCTTAATTGTTATATACTTACAGTTTTTCTGATTGTTTACACACATTTTCTGAAAGAATGCCTCATATTCTCAGAACTCTACACACAAATCAAAAAACACACAATGGGCAAAACCCCTCAATTCTCCTGCAAAATGAAACTTTACATTCAAAACAATGTTTTTTCTTCTCAAAATGGTATTTTGTTTTCAAATGACACACAAATCATATGAATAGACATTCATAAGAACCAGTTGAACACTGATGTGCTCAATGTAAAACACTATGATGAATGGAAAACACTTCTTCTCCATTCATCATAATGACTTAGGCTTTTTTTTTGTTCAGTGTTACACGTGTACACAAGTGTGTTGTAAAATATTTGAGAATATTGTTTTTATACTCAGAACACACAAATACACGGTAACAAATATATTTTATTTGTCCCACAAAAACAATGTACACAGTGTACATCCCATTCCCAACCAACACAAAGTTGCACATACACTACATACAAAACAACAGAAGAAGAATTTACTGTACACAGTTACAGTATAAAAAAAACAACCTAAAAACCAAACTATGCTGCATCCTCTCTTCTGTTGCGGTCTGGCCACAGCACCTCATCCACATCACAAGCAATGTTTTCCCTGGCCAAGCAGCGCAGGAAATATCGCCTAGCATAGCGATTCCAGCCATGAAAAGCATCAGCTGCTGTATCTCCACAGCTTGGAGAAGAGGTATACGTGTTTGTGGATTTCGGTCACACACTTTCCATCTCCAGTCAGGAAAAAATTCCTCAATAGGATTGAGGAATGGAGAATATGGAGGGAGATAAACTAAAAAGCGTGGGTGGACAGTGAACCAGTTACGAACCAAAGCAGCCCTGTGGAATCTTACGTTGTCCCAAATGACAACGTACCTGAGCTACTCTGGGCCGTCTACCTGATCTGGTGGAATGAGTGTGTTGTGTAGGGTGTCCAGGAATGTGATCAGATGGGCTGATGTGGGTAATCGCTGCACACATTGTGATGTTCCCTCCGCGCTGGCCAGGGACTTCAACAATGGCACGCTGGCCGATGACATTCCTTCCCTCTTTCATCTTTTGTGGTTGAACCCAACCTCATCAATGAAGATGAACTGGTGCTCCACTGCAGCCACCTCTAGCTCAAGGACTCTGAAACACACATGACAATATCAGAAATAGACATGGAGTGGTCACTATTGTGAAGCACAATCATTATGATTACAATATTGAAATATGTATAATTTACTGTATACAGTTTTGAGTGTATGCATCAATTGTGGGACTCACTTGCACATAGTTATATCGCAAATCTTTGACTCTTTCTGAATTGTGTTCAAATGGCACCCTGTAGACCTGCTTCATCCTGAGATGATTTCTGCGCAAGACACGGTCCAGTGTTGATAAGCTTACCCTATCAATATTTTGAAATATGTCATTGTTTTCTATTATTTTTCTTTGTATTTGCTGTAATGTTATGGTGTTGTTTTCTAGGACCATGTTTATGATTTCAGTTTCCTGTTCAGAAGACAGAAGACGTTCCCGACCACCTTGTGTTGGTAATCTTTCAGTTCTGCCAAACAAATAGTAAAATACTGTAAATACAAAGTAGGTATACATTTCCTAAATACTTGAAACATACTTTACAGTATTTTTACAGTCCTACAGAACAGTCCACAGGCAATACTGTACTACTGTACTCATTGAGTACTGTATTGATACGCAGTACTGCAATTTGCTAGTGAGAGTAGATTTCTTACCTGTTCTCATTTCGGAAAGTCCGGATGATGGATGCTACAGTGTACCTGCTCATATTGGGCTGTACTCTTTGCCCAGCCTCCCTCATTGTTAGACCATGGTTGACCACATGATCAACCAAAGTGGCTCGTATCTCATCAGAGATTACGGTCCTTGGCCTTCCTTGTCCTCGTCCTCGTCCCCGTCCTCGTCCTCGTCCTCGTCCTCTTCCTCCTCTGGCTCTGCCTCTGTTTCCAATGTTGGTTGCCTGTGTGAGAGAGAACATCAGATTTCCTCCTGTTTTGAACAGCTTTTTCTACCAGCAGCTATGTTGTACGACACACGGAGCTAGATGGAGCCGGTGTAGGTACCAGATGTGATCGGGTGGTCAGAACTGCACGGGGGCCTGGGCCTGCAGGTAATCACATAACGTGATTGGCTGTATATTTGTATGATGTGGCAGAAGGTGATCAGCTGTACGTCGGAGTGTTTACATCCATAGTTATATATATACATTTTATTGTTTATTCAAAAATATGATACTGCCATTCATAAAATATAGCTGTGCAATTCCAACATTGTTTTCTGCTTAATATGATATGAAAAGTGCAAAGTGACTGTTCTATTTTTAGCAGGGACTATGTACAAGACGCAAGTTAAATTGCCTTGCCTGAGCAAAGGAAGTGGTTGTACTTCTGTGAGCTTTGTGAAAAGGGGAAGGAAGGAGGAGTGGATTATTCTTAGAAACATTATTTGTTATGTTATGGTGTTGTTTTCTAGGACCATGTTTATGATTTCAGTTTCCTGTTCAGAAGACAGAAGACGTTCCCGACCACCTTGTGTTGGTAATCTTTCAGTTCTGCCAAACAAATAGTAAAATACTGTAAATACAAAGTGGGTATACATTTCCTAAATACTTGAAACATACTTTACAGTATTTTTACAGTCCTACAGAACAGTCCACAGGCAATACTGTACTAATGTACTCATTGAGTACTGTATTGATATGCATTACTGCATTTTGCTAGTGAGAGTAGATTTCTTACCTGTTCTCATTTCGGAAAGTCCGGATGATGGATGCTACAGTGTACCTGCTCAGATTGGGCTGTACTCTTTGCCCAGCCTCCCTCATTGTTAGACCATGGTTGACCACATGATCAACCAAAGTGGCTCGTATCTCATCAGAGATTACGGTCCTTGGCCTTCCTTGTCCTCGTCCTCGTCCCCGTCCTCGTTGTCGTCCTCGTCCTCGTCCTCTTCCTCCTCTGGCTCTGCCTCTGTTTCCAATGTTGGTTGCCTGTGTGAGAGAGAACATCAGATTTCCTCCTGTTTTGAACACTCTATTTTGAACAGCTTTTTCTACCAGCAGCTATGTTGTACGACACACGGAGCTAGATGGAGCCGGTGTAGGTACCAGATGTGATCGGGTGGTCAGAACTGCACGGGGGCCTGGGCCTGCTGGTAACGTCACATAACGTGATTGGCTGTATATTTGTATGATGTGGCAGAAGGTGATCAGCTGTACGTCGGAGTGTTTACATCCATAGTTATATATATACATTTTATTGTTTATTCAAAAATATGATACTGCCATTCATAAAATATAGCTGTGCAATTCCAACATTGTTTTCTGTTTAATATGATATGAAAAGTGCAAAGTGACTGTTCTATTTTTAGCAGGGGCTATGTACAAGACTCAAGTTAAATTGTCTTGCCTGAGCAGGAAGTGGTTGTACTTCTGTGAGCTTTGTGAAAAGGGGAAGGAAGGAGGAGTGGATTATTCTTAGAAAAATTATTTGTTGTCAGCCTGTGAGATCATATTGATATGAGCTGTAACTTCTTTACTGGCACAGCTTCCTCTTAGTCTTCCTCATAATGTATGCTTTCAAGCTTTAAAGTGGTGTTTCAGTTTTGGATGTGAAGATGGGACATACTTTGTTCTGTGTGCTGGGGTTATTCTGTGAGTACATCACTGACTTACTCTTTTCGTGCTTACTAAAAACACTTTATGTTGCATTCACAGCATCACGGGTTGTCTAGAAACTGTAGGTTTCTTTTTAATGTGCCAGGGGAAAGTTGTGACACTGTTGTTTCGTCAGCAATGATGATTTAATACTGTATTTATAAGATGAGATAAACCTTTATTGATCTCCAGCGGGCAAATTTGGTTACTCTAGCTTACTATAGACCTACACATATTTTAAATATTGTCTTGTCTTTTTGTTTCTTGGCTGGTGACTGACTTTAAAGTGGAAGACTGTGTTGTGATAATGTTGATTGAGATTTGATATTAGACATTATCTAACCACAGTTGTTTTTTGTTTTAAATGACTTTGTTTATTCTCATTTTGACAGTTTGAGTGTGAAAATATCTGATGAAATATCAATCTTTATTTTAGTGCTGAATACACTCCTCCACTCTGGACATGCTGAAGGTGATTGCACAATCTCCCTTTTTCTGCATCACTCTGAATCACATCATCTGTCTTTATTCATTTATTATCAACATGTGCATCATTTTAGTGCATTTGTATCAACAAAAAGGAGAATATGACTATAAAGTGCTTGAGAGTGTTAACTTTCATATTCCAGCAACGTAGCAAACACACAGGCTAGTGAGTATAGATCTGCTTTTAAATTATGTGGAAATGTACTTATTTAGCAAACATATAAATTATTATTAAGTGAGACTTTTTCTAAACTCAGTGTTAATTGTGGTAGTGATTATGATTTCATACTTTGAAAACATTACATTTAGCAGTGGTTTATTGCCACCCATTTTGCTCATGATAACTAGTCTGGCTAAGTTAAAAAAGGAACTAAACTCTATCACGCAGATAATGATGTAAACCAGGAGGGTAAATGGACATGAAGAATGCATTTAATGTTTCGAGGTAAATGTGTTAAATGTGCAGGATCCAAACTGCACTCAATCCATAAACAAGAAAAGAGTTTTAATTCTGGGATATCTATTTCCAGCAAATAAAACCAAACCTGTCCTCACTGTGTCTCCATCCTGGCTGAGTCCTGGAGCCTCAGTAACTCTGAGCTGCAGTGTTAAAGATCCATCTGCAGGATGGAGGTTCTTCTGGTATAAAGCTGTTCCCAAACTATCAGGCAACTACTACGACCAAGAGCTGCTACCTGGCAGAAGCAACGGGACTGAACAGGATTCCTTCATTGTTCGTGAACAGACACACACAGCAGGATATAAGTGCAGAGCTGGAAGAGGAGATCCAGTGAACTACACTAATTATAGTAACACTATGTTTGTCTGGTCTAAAGGTCAGTGTGTTAGTGCCTTTCTTTCTTCCTTTTCTTTCCTCTATTCTGCCCCCACAATTAGTCATGTAGCTACCTAGCGAAGGAGTAGGTTACAGAGTATAGCAGAGGCATACGTCATCATCATTCATCAACAGTGTTTGGGTTACTCTCACTGCTGGAAAGGAAAAACAAAAGTTCTGCACTGCAGGTTTAAAAGACACTGATTTGTGGTCAGACAGGCACATGGACAGGTGGCAAATGTGGCGCCTGCAACAAATAAACAGGCATGTAAAGAGACAAGATATGGGTACAACTAGGAGATTAAAATAACTGATAGTTAAAAGGAAACTATGTGTTAAAAGATGGAGAGCAACCACTGTAATTAATATTAAGACAGTCAAAAGATGATTTCCACTGTGCTGCTGTTAATGTCATGATATCTCTGTGTTTGTTTTGACACCTCATTAGTTCTTTTTCAGATTTTCATCCAGCAACAGTCAGAGTGAGTCCTGACAGAGAGCAGCACTTTTCCTCTGAGCCTGTCTCACTGAGCTGTGAGGGAAACTCTTCTAAGTGGAGAGTGAGGAGGTTCACTAAAGCCGGCCATCTGTCAAACTGTTCTAAGTGGGGAACAATGACTGGATCCACATGCAACATCAACGAACTTCCAAACAAAACTGCAGTGTACTGGTGTGAGTCTGAATCAGCTCAATTCAGTAACGCGGTCAACATCACCGTACAAAGTAATTGCTTTTTTGTTTTAATTCTTATTTCACAATTACATAATTTAACATCTTATATTCAGATTTTATAGGTGATTATATTTTTTGGTTATATTATATAACCAATGCAGTGAAACGTTAAGGAGAGACATGGAACCCGCCATGAAATCAGTTTTTCTGCCCTTCACAGTGTTTATTATTAGACCTCTTATTATCAAAGAATTAGGACATATTGATCCTCAATGGCATTTGTGTAAATTAACCAATTAAATTTTGGGTATGTGATTCTAATCCAATACAAGTCTTTTTGTCAAATTCAACAAATATCTCCTCACGGTCCACTAGCTGTCGGTTCTATGTGTGTGCTGAAAAACAACCTGGTGTTTGTACCCAGCCCAGGTTCTGTAAATGGGAAACAAATAAAATGACTTGGACCGAGCCACACAAGACTTTTCCAGCTGTTCCAGCCATGATTTCTGAACTGCCCACGGACATTCAACTTACTCTCTAGTACACCAACATAGCTGTTGGTGTGATGTTAGCTGTATCTGTCTGGAGTTATTGTGCTGGCTCTGGGACTGCCTCGTCCTCTGTGCACGTTAGCTTCATAGCAGCAGTTGTAGCGACAGTTTGCTAACCCACAACTAAGCTAACATTAGTTACATTACTTGCTTTGTAATGGTTCGCTCTATTGCATGGATGTGTCATGGTGTTGGATTTCTCCAGAATTGCACACCAAATAATAAAGAGCAATTGCTGCTTATTTGTAAATATCTGAAATGATGAATTAATATTGCAATTTTACCTGATCTGATCAGAGCATCAGTTGCAACTTCATTAATTGACGCCACAGTGACTATAAACCTCCATCACCTTTGGTTATGTAAGAGTAACAGCAGAAGTGTATGAGCGATGAAAAGGTTTGCAACGACTTGATATTATTTGACTGTTTCACAGATAAAGATGGTGAATCCTGTCCATCCTGTGACTGAGGGACAGTCTGTTGGTCTTGGCTGCAAACTGAGGACAGGGACATCAGATTCTAATATATTTTTCTACCGAAATGGATGTCTCATCCAAAATGACAGGAGAGGGGCTGAATATTGCTGCAGTGTCAAAGTCAGACGAAGGCTTAGTGGAAATACTCAGGAAATGTGTCACCACATCTGTTTCTTTAAAACTTCCTTTTTCAGAAGCTATGTCACAATCTGAGATAAAAAGAGGTTGTCAAATACTTACTTAATACAAATACTCTAATTAGAAAACTAAAACAGGAGGTTCTAATGTACTGTGAATGTCTAATATCACACAGTCTAACAATAATTACGTATGTGCGCAGGTATGTACAATAAGTGTTAATTGTGTACTGCACTTGCATGGATGTACATTTGGACATTTGATTTGAACATTCATTTATGAACAATTTATACTATATATACTATGTGTATACTGTGTGTAAGCATGTGTGCTCTTAAGTATACACTTGTATAGTTATGTGTACATGTATGTTTTTTATTATTATTATTTATTTGTGAACTATAAGGTGTTAATGTATGTGTACGCACATGTGTATAGTGTGTGTAGTTTTTTTTTCCTTCCACATATAATTTCTGCAACTGGTCTGTTTTTGAACATGTGGCCCACTTGATCCTGGATGTGGGTTCACTTGTGAAGTCTTTTACATGGTTTCTTCTAATTTAGATTTACTAACTTGTGACCTCTTTTGTTTGTGAAAGCACTCAACTACAAATAACATTTATTAATACTTACCTTTTATTAGGACCTGAAGACTCTTCATTTCTTCTGCAGTTGATTGTTGGGCCAGTTTGTGGAAGTTTACTGATTATTCTCCTGCTGCTGTTGTGTTGCTACAGAAAGTCAAAGGGTGAGACCTTTTCCTGCTGATACTTGATGGTTTATAATCTGACTATTCAAAGTCATTATTGAATTCAGTGCCAAAACAAAATAATGTAACAACATTTTATTTTTGTTTTACAGATTCAAATTTTGCCAGGTGGGTAGACTTCTCTTCTCTCTTAGGCACTAAATGTTCCTTATTCAATTTACTGAATTTACTATATTTTATATATATATTGTTTATATATATATGTTTTATTTTATTATATTTTAGGACCCCACAGAGAACCAATCCGGGCTCTGCTCCAGATCAAGTGGTTTACCAGAATGAAACTACAGTGCACTCTCTCATCTGCATGGTCAGCCTTAAAAATGATCCAGATCCATTTATCATTTCATGTTTATGACATTATCATATCACAACACTTGCTTTCTGGTAGGCTTATTTTCAAGACTTAAACCAAATGAACTTTTCAGTTAGTCAATTGGAATATAATAAACTCATCTACTACAACCAGAAAAGATCAGAACTGAAAATTGGTTATAGTCATTGTTTACATTGTCTCTAGCTGAAATTATGTTAAACTATGAGACAGAGAGTATCATTAATTTATGGTATAAAATACATTTAATGCAATTTGAGTTACACCTTTGACATTACCCAATTCAAATAACTCAAAGAGTCTAAACATCAATGTCTTTTGCCCATATTTATATCTTTAAGACAATCTTACAATATATTTGAGTATATTCATCAGAAAAGAAGCAGCTTAGTTTGTATCCTAAAGTTGAAATGATCAATTTTACCGTGACTTGATTTTCAGGTGATGCTTGTCTCTCTGAATCAATCAGAGGCTCAGAAAATGCTGAAAATGGTAGGTACATTTTTTATTTATTTACACACAGAAGAATATTAGAAAAGAGTTGACAATCCTGTAAGTTAAGAACATGTATATTTCAGATGCAGATGAATCCAGCTATGTCACATACTCGTTGATTCAGCTTAAACACAGTAGTAATAAAGGTGAGTATACAAACAAATATTATAGTCAAAATATTCATCAGGCCAGTGATTTCTAAATAAAAGACAGTATTAACTCATCTTTTGATGCATCTGCTCATCTTTACAGGGCAGCATAATGAACCAGAGGAGAGCTCCCTTTACTCGAATGTGAAGACAAGATCAGCTGCAGGTACAGTCACTTGCAACAGTTTGTCCAATAGTTTGTTTTGAAATATGCAAAATATTATTGAAAGTAACTCTAGTTCAAATCACTCTAATTTTACTTCCTGTTATATTTTTGTTTGTTTTTTAATCTCTGGTCATGTTGTTGCAGACTAGCCTGTAAATGGAAATTCTGTTCTAGAGAAAAAAAATACAAAATACTGTTGATTTTTGCTGTAAAATGATTGCTGTTGGTTTGTTGCTTGGGTTTGAGTTTGTTCTCTGACTCAAAAGATTTTAAATAATCTTAACAATGCACAACATTCTTATTTTTTTAATATTTATTTTTATTGATTCTAATTAAACTTGCTTAATTGATATCCCCTCTATTGTTGTAACCTGTAACTATTTTCCTCCTGTTGTATTATGCATGCATAGTCTTTATTATGCATGTATACTGCAAATATGCATTTCTGACGAAAACAGTTTTCATGTATCATTAAATTCTATAAAGAAAAACACAATACTCTGCTGTGTGTTGGTTTGACCTTTGGGCTTTGCAATACTGTCATTTAACCTTTACCTAGATAATCTGTCTGCAGTTCAATGTATATTAAATCTATTATTGTTAAACATTTAAACAAATTAAACAAACAAACTAATCATCTCTCCGTTCATAGGAAGATCATCTCCTGCAGCAACAGAGGAAACTGTTTATTCAGAAGTCAAAATAGGAACGGCTCTTGGTAATAATGCTCCCATGTAATGTGCATGTTGTGATTTGTGTCTTTAAAGCGACTACATCTTAAATATCCTTTTATCTCTGCTTTTGCTGGTTTTCTTCCAGTTCCATAACGAGAATAGTATTACTTTTTCATGTGTAATGACCTTTATTCCTTTAAAAATGGACTGATACTGTATGTACTTTATTTGTACCTGGATGTTATTTTGCCGTTTTGAAAGCTATGTCACATTTTATCATTTTATGCAGCAATAAAACTTTTTCAGCAGCCAAATGTTGTGTCCTTTATTGCTTTTTAGTCATTTTTATGTGATCTCCTCTGCACACTTTTGTGGCTCATAGCTACACAGCTGGGGAAAACAAATGGACAGACATAAAACCAGAAATGTCAAAACATTAAGTATTATAAGTAATCTGTTGTTCTGTTTTTGGAGTTTTTTCATTTTTGGAGTATACAGGAAATCAACCCTCTTTACTTTTTTTAAATAGGCAATTATGCAATTCTTCTGTCAGATGTTAACCAAACTGTAACTTTTAAATGATGATGCCAGTGAATAGTTGTTGTGGGTTTTTTTGGTTTCTGAGGTTTTATTCCTTTTTCCTGTTGAAGATTTTTTTGGGTAGTTTTCCTAACTGAGTTTTAGCATTAAAATTAACTTATCCTTGGGGCATATTTTCCTGGCCACTAAATACAATCCTAGCAGCTATACCAAGTGCACTGATCAATGAGAAGAGAGCTGTCGTAAACGGGCGTGGCTGTGTTGGTATTTGGCTCTAGGGCTATTCAGTCAGGTGCCATTTCAGAGTAAGCAGGGCGAATCTCTTCGACACCAGCTTAAACAGTCCTCAGTTATACCTATAGGGTAATACCCATAGGCCTAGAGGATCGGACCCTTTAAGATGGAGAGCTGGTCCAGTACCTCCTGAACAGGGGTAACTCGGGATCTAACACGGTCTAAGGTAACAGAGTTTGTATGTTGTACAGATTGCAAAGCCCTCTGACGCAACGTTTTGATTCTGGAGCTGTTTCGTCACCTTCCACAATCCACAGGTTGACTTCCAGCAGAGAGCAGCTCATCAATTTCCTTTGTGCACTGCATTGTTCTTCACACAAACACTGAGGTTTTTTTAATATGGTTTCTAACCGCTTTGAGTTTAATTGATCTCTTCATTTTTCAAGTGTGAACACATCTGCTTAGAATTGATGATGATGATGTAGTGTGGATTTGGGACAAAGTTGCTGCTTCATTGATGTTGTTAGGCTCATGTTTGGCAGAAATTAGGTTAGTATAAATGGTAAATAAATGAATTTATTGAATGCTAACTACTACTATATGTTTACTATGGAGATTTATATTCATAAATGTACTGTACTGGTGTATGGATATAACCACAGAGAGTGTAATTGATTTTAGCCATCGTCATCCTCATTCATTTAAACTGACTCCACCAGAGATAGTTGCATTTAAAACCACAATAATGTGTGCGGTTTTTATTTCACTTGACGATGTGTACTGTAACTGACAGCATAACTAGATATTTATTTCATTGCTGTCTCTTCTAAAGTAATTTGTTGTGTTGAAAGATAAGATCTGGTGTCATATGATGACACTGCCTAAAATATATCCAGCAACACATTCTGTAGGTGTGAAAAGGAAGTGAAAGTGAGTTTAATTATCTCAAATTTACAAGCATTGTCATGGCTTGTCTATTTGTAAACAGTATGTTGTATGTTTTATGATATTAACCAGTTAAGAACTGGTTACATTTTGGGCTGGTCCACCATAAGCATCCAGTGTTTATATTGGTTGGTTTTTTACAGTTGTTGTTTTTTACTACTGCTTACACACGTTTCAATACTTTGTCTCCCTTTTCAAATGTACTCACAATTCTGCTCACATAAAATGCAAAATGCCTCAAATCTCCTTCAAAATGAAACACTGCATTAAAAATGACATAAAAACCAAATGAAGCACCTGCAGCAGATGGCAGTAATTATTGGATTACCATTTACACACTGTTTCTAAATCTAAAGCTCTTTTTCACATTTCCATACAATGTTCTAGTGTAAAAGTAATCTGCTAAGAGTGGTTGAAACATACACTGTAAACACCAATGCAATGTTAAAACAGCAAATATTTATTTGGCAAAACTTACAGTTGTAACAGTTGCACAGTGTTGTATCATCCTTTTATTGCCAAACAATAATTTTTATTTTACATTAACCATTACATTGTTGCAACCTGTTCTAATTTCTTTAGGTTCAAATTACGGTCACCACTGTAAAGCAACTCAAATTGGGCTTGACTCTCAGTCCAGCTTCTCTCACTGTCAGCCTGTGGTTGATCACATGATAGGGGCGGCTGTGGCTCAGGAGGTAGAGCGGGTTGGCCATTAATCAGAAGTCGGCGGTTCAATCCCTGGCTCCTCCGGTTGTGTCGAACTTGTCCTCGTTGTCGCCCCTGCCTCTCCCTCCTTCTCCCCTTGCTCTCTGCCATTGTTGGCATCCATGTTCAAAACAGGTAATTTGACCTTTGACCTATGTATAGTTCTGCTGTATACTACGCAGTTGTGATCAGAAGTTAGTGTTTGCACATGTGAGGAGTGGCTGTTTGATCTTGTGACTAAGTGTTGCATTTTCTTTGGTTGTGTTTGGAAAAGGAAGAAGGTCAACTTTTTGTGTCTTAGATAGAGAATTGTGTGTGTTTTGATAAAAGTTTTATGCAGTTGAAAATCACTTTGAGTGAGAAGTTTTAACCACATGTGATGTAAAGATTTTGGTGTAAGCAGTTGTAAAAGACTGTGAAGTGTCATCGAAAAAAGGCTGAGGTTTGGTGCCTATCTG